GAGTATAGAACTGGGTGCATGGAAAGGGTCTGGTTCAGTTTGGAGGTGTGGAATTTACGGCTCATCAGTCTTGGAGGTTTTGTGATTCTCTCCTGAGATTCTCAGCAGCTACAAATACTGAAAGAACTGGGTATGTTAGAGTTGGGTTTTGCTAAGTCTTCATAACCATCTTGGAAGCTGAGGTTCTTGGCACAATATCTAAATCCCAGAGATTCTCCTAGAATGAGCATTGTCCTAGATAGTGACCCTCCATCCTGATGCACATTGAAACCACATGGAGAACTTAAAAACAACAACAACAACAACAACTGACGTCAGTGTCTCATCTTCTCTTTTGGTTGATCTGGACTATGGCTTGGACTTTGAGATTTTTTGAACTCCCCAGCTCCCCAGGTGATTCTTGAGGTCAGTCAAGGAGAAAATTTTTGTTCTTCTAATTTCCTATGTCCAAATAAAGTTCAGAAACTATATCAGCCAGAATAGGCTATGTTATAGGTCAGTAACAAAATGCAGAATCTCAGTGTCTTAATACAATGAAAGTTTTCTGTTTTCTGCTTATATAATGTCTACTGCCACTCATATGGGCAGCAGTCCTCCTTGTACTGCTTGGCATTCATTTGTCATTGAGGCAGAGGAAGAGGAGCATGGAAAATGAGTCATAGCTCTTATATGCTTTTACCAGGAAGTAACGCCCATCATCTCTGGTCATTTTTCATTGGTCAACACCAGTTGCATGGCCACGACTAATTTCAAGGAAGAAGAAAAGGAAGCTGGATATCGATGAACATTAGTAATGACCACCACCTACATAGGGCTTTTATTGAAATACAAGTAGAGGGAAAGAACAGGCTTATGTATTTACTTTCACACTCTTATATAGTACTTATTGCATGCCAGATATTATTTTAATGGATTTCAAATAGGAGCTCATTTAATCCTCATAACAGCCCTATTAAGTAGGTGATTTTATGTTGATTTTTTTCAGAAGGGGAAATTGAGGTTTAATAACTTGTTCTAAGTCATATAAGTAGCAGAGATGAGATTGAATTCCAGGCAGTCTGGGTCCAGAGTCAAAGTGCTGAGCCCCCATTTTGCTGAGCCTCTTTAGTTTTGCTTGCTCCCAGCTTAGATCCTGTATGGGGTGAGGGGAAAGTGTGGAGGTGGAAGTGTAAGTTTAAGTGCAGGACTTTGTGCATTCAAAGGTACGAAGCAATGCTTGTATATGTCACTGCTAGTGCTCTAGAAGGGAAGCACAAAGTGAGGTTTGGGGAGAAGGAAGTGGAATGGATTGATGGTGCTGTTTCTGAGACCAACCCTGGAGAGTGACTTCTGACCCTTTCCTTCTTCCCTTTCTTCCATTCCTCCACCAGTCATCCATTCAGCATCTGTCGATTGGATTGCACCCTGGCTCTATACTGGATTTGCTTAGAAAAAGAGAGCAGGGACAAGGAGAAAAATCATTCCCTCAGAGAGTAGTGGTTGGGCCATTTGTACATAAGGGATCAAACATTAAATCAGATTTTCTGAAAATGGATGTATAATTATAGCTACTGTCAAATAATTTTGATCTAGGCAACTCATATGGGCAGCAGTTCTCCTTGTACTGCTTGGCATTCCTTAGTCACTGAGGCAGAGGAAGAGGAGCATGGGAAACTGAGTCATAGCTTTTCTATGCTTGTACCAGGAAGTAACACCCATCACCTACAGTCATCTTCATTGATCAGCACCAGTTGCGTGGCTACAACTAATTTCAAGGAGGAAGAAAAGGCAGGGGCATATTGGCAAACATTAGTATGTTCGCCATTACTCTATATTTTAAAATCCTCAAAGGAGGAGTGTTGATAAAAAAAATCATTCAGCAAATTGCAGATCATAAATTCCTAGTGTAACAATTTTCTAAAGCTTCACTTTTCTATTGGTTTCTGTTAAAGGGGAACACACCTGCAGTTCAGCTCATTGCAGTTTATTCTGTTGTGTCTTCAGAGTCTAAAAATACTTCCAGGGATTGGAACTCTTGGTTTTCATAGAGTTAATATATTAACATACCACAAGACAGAAAAAAAAAAGGACACATGATCTCACTTTAAAATGGATTGTTTTTGCAATAAAATAAACAAAAAGAAGCCCTCTATATGACATTGAGGCTTTTAAATTCCTCTCTCACCTGTTAAGTCCTGTGGTTTGGTCACAACATATGGACTCTGTTTGCAAAACACTTTTTAAAATGCTGTATTGGCACCTCACTGCAATCTGCCAGCACAATCCTTAGGGTCAGGCAGTCCATACGGCTGCTGCTGTATTTTCCTTAACTCTGTTTTGATTGGGAGCTGTTTCAAGTTGTTGCCAGGAGCTTCTCCTTTCTTGTGCTGCAGGAGCTGTTCTGGCAATAGAGATGGCTGGATGTTGATGATTGTTGCCAAACTAACCCACTATTCAGGTTATTTTCTATTACTTAAAAGGAGCTTTGGCTACAGGGTCAGGAGACCCGATTGTAGTCTCTAGCTGAGTGCTCCAGTGCACTGAGTCATCTAGGACAAGGCATTTCATCTTTCTATGTCTCACTTTCTTTCTTTACAAAATGAAAAATTTAAACTGCAAGACTAAGAAAAGTGTGTCATCCAATAATTTGACACTTTATAACCACCAATTGCTTTTTTTTACAGTTAAAAATAATCAAAAAGTTTCAATGCTGGGCAGTTATTAAGGACAAAGAAGAAAGGACAAATGTCATTGTAATTAAATCTGTAGATGGAAATAAAGGAGGATGTTCTACCAGTAATTGTGTGACTGTGTCTTAATGGAGTCCATAAGAGTTTCCTCTTTGGGAAGTGTGAGCTAATACACCCACAGAGCAATGATTAGGAACAGGGATATTTATACTAGATGGGAAATGCTGGGAAGCTGGGATTTTAAATCAATACCCAGAGGCGAGATGTGGGCAGCTGATGATGTGCAAAAGAACATATAGATTTGAAATATTCTCTGTTAATGATGATGACAGAATTATCATACCATGCTAGAAATTTAGGGTAGCAATCTGTGAGAAAAAATACACATGTATATTTTAAAAATATAAGCCTGTCTGTTCACTACCTCAGTCAGTGAATGGTTGATTGGTCTAGGATATTTAACACAGGTCGTTTAAGACCCACTAGAGGGAAAAAATTCAACTGTGTGGTTTAGGCTGGGGTGGATGTGTGGGTTTTGAGTTTCCCTAAGGCTGTTGCACACCCTACCAAACTGCAGTGAGGGAGATGTAACCTCTTTCCTGAGGCAAGCTAAACATAGCGGATCCAAACTGTGACTGAGTTCTTGTTATTTAACTGAAAACATCCCTAGGTATTTAAAAGACATCCTAGCTGTAGGGGGATTCACTCACCTTCCCTGCGACGCTTCAGGAGAAAGCTAAATAGTCTAGTATTATTACATCTAGTCTCTCTCTCTCTCTCTCTCTCTCTCTCTCC